CATGAACACAATGTAAAATGGCCACTCACTTGAATTATCGGATAGTAAAGCATAAAACTAGCAACAATATGTGGCTGTTGTGTCAAGATAGTCCAGTGTTTGTCTAGGATGTGCTCTTACCCAGAGGCACTTGGTGGCTAAATCCTAAGCTGTGGCAGTGTGTCTTGATATACTACTGCTTAGACATTAACAAATGCTGCATTTCCAACAAAGCACCCAGAACTACTTTTAAAGGAATTAAAAAGTTCCTTCAGCCTGTTGTTGTCTGTGTTTCCACCATGGTCTCAAGACTCTCAAACATTAGGCAAATTAGTCTGCTGGTGTATGAAAACTCTCTTTTTGTGCACAATAAATGCTCAATAAGGCTTGGACTTTGTTGTCGTTCCATCTGTTGTATGCTTTCTTCTGAACTCTGTGTTGATGTGTCGCAGCACAATGAACAAAAACTAAACTTGTTTCAGCTGCAGATTTTTAAAGATGGTGGCTGAAATAAAATGCTGCAAGCACTTGACCAATCAGAAACATTCAGTGCTGCAAGTCCCTGACCCCATTTTAGGTGGTAAAATAATGAAATACAATGAGTTCCCCCAAAGGTTCCTAGTCCCTAGGAAAAGTTCCTATGACTGAAACACAAAGTAATGTTAAGTTTATGCTAAAATGCTACATGAGACCCAGTGTTCCAAATGTTTTTACCTGTAGTAGAGGAGCTCTGACTCCAGCTGGAGGATGTGTCTCTGCAGTGCCGGCACATGACTGGCCTTGGCTTCCAGTTCCTTCACCTTACCCAGGCCGCTGAGCAGCGCCTGCCTCGCCTCCTCCACCTTCCTCCTCATGCCCGCCTGCTCCCTCTTCAGGGCTTGGTTGCAGTCCTCTAGAGCGGCCACTGTCTCTTTAGAGCTCCACAGTTCCTGCTCCAGTCTCTGATTGCACAGCATGGCCTCCTCTACCTGGCGGTCGCTGGAGCTCCGCAGAAGTTCTATCTCATGCATGATGTTCTGCAAGCTCTTCAGGCTGCTGTAGGTGCTGCTTTTCAGGTTGGCGTTGCTTGTACTTTTCTGGGCAGCCCGTTTCTGGTGAGCAACAAAGCAGCCTTCCTCTGGTTTATGTTTGGAGTGGCTTTTCCATAGTCCTACCTGAACAGAAGTACAACGGGTGAATGGAAGGGACCAGATCAAGATATTCATTAAAACCAGTATTGCTTGACAATTCTGGTATCTAAGTTGTATGTAATGGCTTATATTCTTTTAATAAGCTATCAAGTCAGTGTCATCATTCAAGGATATTGGATTTCTCATCTTTTAATACCTTTATTACTGCAGTTCATCAATCATCAATAAAGGTTTTTGTACCAATTTCTTTGTACCACTTTCTTTCCTTTATAAATCATTAATTGATGCATTATTGATCAGTTATAAGCCATTAATAAGAATAACATTTGGGTTGTGGAAAATCTCTCTTGCTGGTAAGTCATTAATAATAGAGTCATTAACGAAATAATTTAATGAAAAAATGTAGCGTCTCTCTTTTTAATAAGCCATGGAGTCTGCTATTATGAATGTTAGTTAGATGTTAATAAGGGCTAATGAGTCTTTCAGTGGCTAACAAATCATCAAAATATATTACCTTTCATAAAGGGTTTATAGTAAACATTGTAACTGATGCTTGTATTAATGATTAGTAATTAATTTACTAATGCTGAATAGAACAGTTATAAGACATGGGTTGCCAGGTTGTGGAAAACCCCTGCAGCTGGTGTTTACCTTCCTCTAGGATGACAGCAGCTTTGTCTTTTTACTTAGCTCTTTAGTTCAACACCCATGCAGTGGACTGTTTGACCACTTGCCTTCTTTAAAGGGCAACAGGGAACCGAAATATATGTAGGGCTGCACAATTAATCGAAATATTATTGAAACTGCAATACGGCCAAGTGCAATATGCAAATCACAGAAGATGCACTTGTTTGATAAAGGCAAAATGTGTGACAGAACAGCATTATACTGAAATACTGTACAAATCTCAAGATTTAAATAAACATGTTTGTTTGGGACCCCAAAAAACTAAATGATGCAATATGATGTTTTTACCAAATCATGCAGTCCTAAATAGCCTACATGTAGTAACAACTTATTTACAACAGCAAACTTGATGGACTATCATAAGAACCTTTTATTAATAATTCATGAACATTTAGGATTGCAGAAGACTAACTTTTGCTGTCTGTACTGCTGTTGACAGGCACAATTTATAGAGTTTATTGTAACTAATGTCTTTATTAATGGTCATAAATCCTTCACTGTGCTTTATAGATCAGTTATAAACCATTGTTAACTTGTGAGTGTTGGTGGCAGCAGTTGTCTTGGGGTCCATTTGCAAGAGGAGTCCCTCCAGACAAGGCTGGTGAGAAGGGGGGGGGGTTATGAGCACCCATGTTACTTTATACAAGGGCTGTTTGCGCCTATTGTTGGCCAACTGACAGATATTACTATAACATTCTATACAAATTTTCATATTTAGCCCTCTTCTATCAGAATACACTCTAATGCAACACCAGCATTGCAGGCGCTCTCACCTGCAGAGCCAGGCAGCGGGCATCACTGCTCTGCAGAGCGGCTCGCATGTCCTCGATCAGCTCCCTCAAACTTGCATTCTCGTCTTCCAGTTTTGATATTCGGTCCTCGGCTTCCTCCAGCGCCACTATCTCCTCGTAGCACTCCTTGGTGCAGGACCCGAGCCTGCAGCCGGAGGCGTGTCGCCCCTCCGAGGAGGCACAGGAGCCGCCGCTCCCACCCACAGACAGCAGCTTCTCTCGCCGCCTCAGAGGGCTCCTCAGGCGGATCTGAGTCTCTATGTGCTCGCTGTCCTTCCCGACCAGCAGCCGGCCGTTCTCGTACTGACACCCCGCCTTGGTGCTGAAGTACCCGCACAGTTTGGCGTGGAAGTGCCTGAAAGTGAGCTCGCTGGGTAAATGGTCTAAAACGCCGGCGCATTCTGTGTCCTCCGAGTCTTTGTTCAGTCCCAAAACTTCACACAAGATGTTAAAGTCGTCCACGGGGATTTTGCCTCCGCCTTGATAGTCCATATGATGGAAAATCTCCTGTAGGTATTGATCCAACCCGGTTGCCAAAACTATAATTTCGTTCTCCACCCCCCGGTCCAGTCCGTAATGGTAAGCCAGAGTGCTGACTATCCATTGCGTCCTGCGCGCTGGTCGGCTGTATGGATCATCCATCATTTCTACTCAGCAACATCATATTCCCTCACACTGAGCAGATCCTTTACAATAACTCCTCTAACATCGCCCTGCTTGTGTGCGTGCGTGTTCATCCTCTCAGCAGAGCACACTGGCGGAGCTGAAACGAGGCGTGTGTTAAAGACAGATTTGAATTTTAGCACTGCCCCCCAAATCCAAAAGCAGGGGTCCCAACCAGCAGTGGAGTCAGTAACATACACACACTGTAACGGTCTCACTGCCTGACTATAATTGCCACCAGGTGTGTAAACTTTTGTCATTCACTTGGGTAAGACCTTGTTAAGATGTAAGATGCCCAAGGGACTCATAGGCTGTGGAGCAGAGGTACAGTCTTTTTTCAACCGAAGAATTTTTACTGCAGGTTTTTTTTATGCAGGGGTAGAACACAAGCTTATATATTAATGCGTTTTGCAAAATTTGCACCTTGCTTTGCCCCTGATGTAGCCTGCAGGAGCTGGTTTCTATGCCATCAAGGGTTTCTCATCAGCACACTCTTAAAACAAATGTTTTGGCTCAACAAAAACAATGAACAGTTTGTATTAATCTTGAATGATGGCTACTTCTAATGAAATTATCTTGAACAAAGTTGAGTTAGGGGAATGAGCTTTTCCTCCACAATCAACAAGTTTTTAAGTTGATTACGCTACTCATAACAAAAAAACTAGTCTTTCCACATTGTTTATGTCATTGCAACTTATTAAAACAATGCTTGTAACTTCAAAGGTTTATTTAAATCAATAAATTAGACTTTTTATTTTGCAACCATAATTTTTTTTAGTTAGTAAAGAAAAGGGAGAAATATCTAAAGGCGGCATTAGTTATCCATTGTTTTATTTCCAAATACATGCCTTTTTTTAAATGACTGGATGAATCACTAAGTCTAAAATGTGGCCATAACAGATGAATGTGTTAAATGTGACAGCCAACTGGGGGGGCCACTGGCAAGCCACCCCTAGATCCTTCCATGAATATATCCCCAAAAATGCTGGGTTACTTCCTCATTACATTGCCTAAGCCTATATATCTAAATAAATTAAATTTAAAGCTTCTATTATTTTAGAGTAGTCTATACCTTAACTGCAAACTGTTTAAACTTGTGCTTTCTTGTCAAGGCTCAATACCTTTACTAACTAGGTGTGTCTGCTTTTAGAATTAATAAACCTGATTATTGCCAAGAAGTGTTGGGCTAGTTACTCAAAAAATGTAATTGATTCATTACACACTTATCTTTTTAAAAGTAATATTATTACTTTACTTTTTCCCTGCCTACAGTAATTAGTTATATTACTTTTCTGCTTCTCCCAAAAAATTGTAAATTGTGTTCTTTCTCCCCAAAATTCAGACTTATGTAGAATAAAATCCCGTGTTGTTTGTTAAAATCAAAGTAATGGAATATTTCCAGCTGCTGAATGTTTCCATCTTCCAAACTAGTTTCTTCCACGATTACAAAAATAAATCCAAGGATGTGATTGGATTGTTGGATTTTTAGATCAGTCGGAGGTGAATAAAAGTAATGACACTACTAGTTACTGAGGAAAGCAATATTATTACTGTAGTACTATTAAAAGTAATGAGTTACTGTCCAACACTGTCGCCAGGTTATCACATAGCCTACAGGGAATGTGCCTTGGTGCACTCATAAAACGTAAATAAAATGTAAATAAAGATTACAGTACTGTACTGCAAGTTAACTTCAGTCCATATATGTTTTTGTTCGGGCAAATGAATCTTCTTGAGTTGAACAAAAATAAAACAAATCATTTTCTTGATATGAATTCCGATAGTCCCAACCGCACGTGAGGCCAGCTGCGCCTCACTTCCTTGACTACAGCGGTTGTCATGGCGACGCGTTGCACTCATAGAAATCATAGAGCCAGGTTGAAGTCTGTGTGACAGCCGGACCCGCCTCAGCGCTGCACGACGGCACAGGACATTATTTCACTAAGTTAAATGACTTGGCAGCTTTGGAACTTGTAGTCCAGGTAAAGTGTTAGTAAACTGTAGAGTGACATAACGCTATATGCTGTATGTCACAATGAACTCTTCAAGAGGACTTTACGCTGTTAGCTTAAACGGGACACTTTAGACTCTTCACACACCGAGCAACAGCAGCTGAGGTGAGAAAAACTGCAAAGTAATGTGTTGTTTTAATATTGAATTATTAATATTATTACTAACTTAACGTTAAATCACAAAGTTGTCAGAGATATTGTACCGTTTTCTCTTTTTTTTCCTACATTACCAGAACTTATTTTGTTGATGGAAAACACCACAAAGCTAACGTCAGTTGTTAAAGATATAAATGATATATTATAAAATTATATTGTATTTATATAGGCTAATATAAAAACTGCTGTCAAAGTCTCATTTTGAACTCTTTTAAACTTATTTATTATTAATTTATTTAACTTATTGATGATGTGTGGTGTGATGAGGGTATTTTAATTGTTTTTTTGGTGACTAATTAATGAATAAATTCATGCAATGTAATATACTAGGGTACATATACAATTCAGGTGTTTTATTTGTAAAATGTAAGTTTTTTAACCCCGTTTCTAAAGCCATTAAATATACTGTATAATCTTTTAATTTATTAGTTAATTTACCGCATTGTAGGGTGAACACATTCCTGCCTCAGTACTGAATAAGAATCTCTTAAAATGTCAAAAAACATTCCAGACCACCCACTGTAAACCAAACCCAACATTAATAACACCTCATAAGGATAATATAAGATCATTGTCACATGTCTCAAAGTGAGATAAATGATCGGATTTCCGGAAAGTGAGAATTGTGATCAACTATCTCCTGACTATTAGCCCTTACTTTTATGGACTACATATGAAATGTTAGCGCAAATATCCCCCTGCTGTCTGTTTTCATTTGCCCTTTTCCTACAGTGTTCTTCGCTGAAAATATTCCAGTGGACTCAGACCCCATGGAGAAAATGTCAGAGACGGGTCTTTGCAATTTGCAGCAGTCAGACTGCGAGGATGTGGAAGTTGCAGACAAAAGACAGGAAGACGTCCTTGAGACCCATTTGTTGTCCATGGAGCTTGGTGTGGAAAATAGGTCAGGTTCAAGGGAGGATGTTACACACACAGATGACAGCTCCTATTACGTCACATGGACAGTTTACATTGCTCTAGCTGTCCCGGGAGGTAAGTTTGTCATACAGAACATAACGTGAGCTCCACAGGGACACTGAAAAGCACTCAAACTGACAGTCAGAAGGACGAGTAAGTGAGGGAATATTAGTGTACTGAAATGTACTACAAATACAAATACAGGTTCATTACATCCTTGATGTCATTCATAAACATTTGTTCGTTTTTAGGAGAAGAAATTGATGTCCCTGAAGCTCCTGGAAAGGCTAAGAACACAAATAAGGATTCATCTACTGTTTTGGTGAAAGCCCATAAAGCTCAGAGCAGCTATCATATTGAATACAAGTTGCCAGGTGATACAGAGAAAGTCAAATTGGACCTAGTAGTGTTTGGGCCGGTAGCAAAAATGTACAAAGAAGATGAGTTCAAGGTAACCATGACCTGGTGCATGTGTGTGCATGTCTATGTGTTTGTGTGTGTGTGTGTCCCCTTAATGAACAATTCATGAACATCCTGAATGAACAACAATAAAGCAGCTCCATTGTCTCCAGTTACAGTAAATGACCCATCACTGCACATGGGGGTTGTTATGTCCTGATAGGAGTGATGATTTCTGCTAACAAACACTTCCTTCTGTTTAGTAAAATGTGAATTTTGTGACAGATTCTAAGAACATGGCACGAAGGAGATCAGACATGGGTTGGTTGGACCCAGGATTTCAACGTCAGAGTCAACAGGGACATGTTGATCGGTCTACTCCCTCACAAGATCAAGCTCCACATATGGAACAGTAAGGAGAAACTGTCCAGCCAGGCCCGCTACGAAAGACTGAAAGCCTTGAGACTGCCTCAGGATGAGCTTGAAGATGCAACACACATGTGTGGTGAGCATCACAACATGTCCAAACATTATACTTGATGTGTATGCTGTGTTTTTATTTAAAATGATTTAATACAAATCTTCAATCTAAGGTGGCATCAAGACTATGGTAAACAAACTGAGAACCTTGTGTGAGAGGAAGTCAAACACATCCAATAAGCACAAAAGTGATATCTTGTTTGATTCTAATTCAGAGGTGCACCCCAAAACAGGTAAATCAACATTTTTTGCCTTATGCTAAGCTGCAGTACGTAATGTTTTGAAAGTATTTTTTTGTCATATTTGCTGAAACTTTCACTATATCCTGACAGTAGTACATGAGACACATACTCAGGTTCCTCTGGCTCCTCCTAGTACTCCTAATGGTGTTTGCAAGAATCCACCGGGCCTGGACGAAAACAACCAATCAGAGCTGAGAAAGATAGCTGATTGTTGAGGCTCATTCCCAGGGCGTCAAATATAGACTGGGACCCCTGAGAATGAGACTCAACAATTAACTACCTTCAAGCTTCCAACCCAAAGCATCTTTCTATCTTTCTCCATATCTTTGCCCATGTGAATATACCTCTGATAGATAAATACATATTTTCATAACACTTTTAATGGACAATAACTTGCCTCTCATCAAAACAGGATTTCAAAAACCCACAATTGATGCTTTTGAACTTGAAGATATCAAAAAGAATGGCACTGCCTCAGTTGAAATCAGTCCCATTTATTTGCTAGCAGGTGAGTCAACATTTAATTCCCACAAAACTCTAAAAACAGTGTTTCCAAACCTATTTGGCTTGGCACCCTTTAAAGCAATACTAGAAAATGTAATGGAATTATTTATAAAAATATATAAATGTGAACCAATGTAATTACTGTACACACAAAAATTACACAAACTTTTTTTTAGGCATTACTGGGGGTCGGGGCCCACTTTAGGGGTTGCAAAAGCTATGTGGGGGGTCACAGACAAAATATGCACAGTAGGTCTATATCTCAGTATTTGGTTCACTTATGTAAAGAAAAGTAAATGTAATGTGAATTGTCTAATGGACAAGCACCATGGACAAGAACACACTGAATTTGTCTAAAAAAGAAGCCTAGTATGTCTGTATGATTGCTAAAAATAAAATACATGTTACAGACAGAGAATTGTTAATTATTATTGTTAATAATAATTAATCTGCTGAAAAGTCTTTCAAATCACTTGTTTCAAACAAACGTCTTGCAGTTACTTAGTTCACTGTTTGGGTTCATTTTGGAGTTTTGAATATAATATGAAATATCCATTAAATATGTAACTTATTCAGTTTACTAAATGATTGTCCCTTAAGGAAAAAGGTTGGGAACCACTGTATATGGGAACAAGACAAAGAGTCTACAGTTATGCTAACAGCTCTGTGAGGCTGTATTTAGACACAGTGGTTCTTTGCACTAAATGTTCATGTTCATCATCTGAGTTTAGCCTGTTAGCCTGCTAAAATTTTCTAATTAGCACTGAAAAGTGCAGCAGAGACCGATGGGAATGTCATTAGTTTTACATGTATTGGGTTCTGAAACAAAGTATTAGACAAACTGAAAATTTGACCTGATGATGGTGCTAGATGAAAGGTCAGAGGATACCCAAAGTTATTACAGTTCATACTGTGAGGAAAATTCTAGCCAGTGTTAGTTTGAAATATTTTTTTCTGGACCAAAGGGGCCATACTGCCACCCTACACCCTCACCGCTAGCAAGGATAAAAAGATTTAAAATGTAATTTTCATTAAAGATTGAACATTATCAAAATTATTTTCTGATTGCCAGGTGAGACCTCATTGACTGAACGTTTCCCAGTCTGTTCATCTGGTGTATTTGAGGTCATGTGCAACATCTCTCTAGACAGACCACTAATATCTGAAAAACTTAGGGCTGAACTCAATCCAATGGTCATCACAATCTTGTCGGCCACCTCAATGCCTTCATCCCCGGTCCCTTTCATCATCCTACAGGTATGACTTACATGTTCATTAACAATGTCATAATGAAGATATGGCTTGTACTGTACACGTGTTGAATACACTCCCTCCTCATTCACTATTTAGGTTTTATAGTATATATAGTATAAAAAATTCTGTTTGCAAGCTTTGACATTTAGCAGCGAGCTCTGATGTGACATAGTTTAAATTTTTGTTTTCCCAGGACAAATGTGCACCCGTCTATTGCCAGTACAAGTTCCACAACTTGAGCATGCACAGAACAAACTATCACAAGCATGGCACCAACATCTACTTCCGAGATGTGAATGTGATCCTGACTGGCCTGATGAGTCCTGAAGAGCTCAGAGAGTTCTTCTCTGGCCCTCCTCTGGAGATAGAGGTGCATGATCGTGACAGAAAGTTGGAAGAGCTGCCAAAAACTCCAGCAGTGTCTGGCACAAACTCAGATGATGACATTCTGTGTGGTGCGGTACTATTAAAACAGAAGACAGCAGTCATTAACTCATATGGTATTGCAAGCCTGAACCTATCTGAGCTGCTACTTGGGAAGAAAAACCTAAAGGTGCACTTACCAATCAGATGCTGCCCTCTACCTCCGCTGCTGGACAGGGAGCGAAGTGCAAGGGGCAACAGGATGACAGACACAGCAGCTAGCAGAGAGCCCATGCCACAAGGCCATTATTTTGACGCCAATTCTCAACTCAAAGTCAAGGTTGAGATAGCTTGTCCACTCAGCGTTAAGAACGGCAGCAGTGAGTCCTGTGATGGTCCATTTGGGCGCATCGTCTACCTCTTTGATTACAACAACTTCTCTGTGATGACCGAGCTGAGGTCAGAGATCCTCAGAATCAATGCATCCGCTTTCCATCTGGGGTCACGTTCCCTCGAAAATGTAGAGAAAGCCCTATCAAATTACATAATGAATTTCAAGCACGACGAGAGCGAGGATCTGGATTTTGTTACGGGATTCCACGTGCTAGATAAGACGATGCACATCTTTGTTCTTGAAGGGCTGAAACATAAAGCAGTGAGGAGGCTTTGGGAGGCTGTTCCTATGAAGTAAGCCCACAAACACTGTCTTGCCCTAACAGCCCATGATGCTAACAGTTTTCAGCTGTGCTGTCCATTTAATAATAGTGTTTAAATTCCAGTGAGAATCCTGCAGTCTGTGTGATGTCTTGCAGGCTAAGTGGGAGTGAGGAGGAGCAGGTGATAGTCCTCTACAACTCAAACCTGGGTTTCTTCAAGCGCATCTATGACTCATTAGATGTGGGCCTGACTCCTATCCGTACATATGAGTCACTAGCGACCATCATGAGACAGCCTCTGGTCTACATTAGAGGCATGGTCCCCCAACCCTGCTTTCAGGCTTTGTCAAGGTACCCAAATAGTGAGATTACAGTGGCCATATACAATGGCAAGGACCATAACTGTGATTTGACTCAATTTACAACAAACCCTGCATGCTTTACATCAGTGGTTCTATTGTACAGTTTATTAGTTGTTCTGTATTACATTGTTCGAATAAAATATGAAATATCCATAAAAGATGTCCTTTAGTCAGTTTATTGCCAAATGGTCGACATGAATGTTAAACATACACAGAAGTATACACTGTTTACTCCTGACCTTGGCAATAATGGTTTGGCAAACTGATATTGATTCAAGGTCTACTTACTAGCTTTCTTGCCAGGGCTTTGAACGGCAACTCATTTTCTCAGTTATAATAATACAGCCAGTCAGTACAGCTTGGATCAAGATTATTTAGTGTAAAATAAACCAAACTAAAGTACAGATCATGTAACTAAAGTTTGCATGATTTGTAGTGGAGCAGCTAAAACTTGTAAAAACACTGGTATGATCCTTTAAGCTCTTGCATGAATCTACTGGAAGTTGACTGAAGGCCATGTATATTTTTGGATTAAATGTGTAATAAATGGAAAGTACTTGTGTTTTCCCTAGGTTAAGCCAGCTTTGTCAAGTAAGGCAACTCAAAGATGCAGTGCAGTACAACCTCTTCCCCTCAGCTGACATGATACTCAGCATGAACAAGGAATATGGCACATATGCTGAGCATTGGGAGCAAAAAGCCGGTGCAGACACTGAGGTGGACATGATGCCCACTCTACCCATCCGGATGAAAAGACATGCAGCACTCAACACACTCAACAGAGAGTACACGAAATGGAAACGCAGCAGCCAGCGGTTGGCGCTCAGACAGTGCAAGAACTACATTCAGGTCAGTCGGCTTAAATTGTTCTGAGTAGAATCTAACTTATAAACAGAGCCACTCATATGTTAGGAATATTTTCCAGGACAATATCAAAAAGGTGCAAGAGGAAAGTGAGCGGTTACAGAAGCCAGAGGCTGCTGTGTTAAAGGTGGAACAGTCTACAACCAGGCCAGCACACAACTACAGCATCCAGACCTTCAACTCAAATGAGCAAGCCAAGGAGCTGCTGCGCAAAAAGATGGCCCAGGTTCGATGAATTTATAGAAAATAATATATCAGTATAGCTTGGTGGCTCGGAGAACACCGCTGTCACCTTAAAGGTCCAGTGTGTGACATTGAGGAGGATCTATAGGCAGAAATGGAATATAATATTCATAGGTATGTCTTCAATCTCACCGCTAGATGCCATTAAATCTTACACTCTGGTCCTTTAAGTACACAATCACTTCATTATTTAGACTTTACATTTTCTGTCAGCTTTTGAACACAGGTGTTGATTAGTGGATGTAGTCGTCCTTTCGTTATGCAGGTGATTACTTTCAGGATTATACACTAATAAAA